GAAGCTTGGGTCTTTCTTCAATATTACCTTGGATCCCAAGCTTAGGCTCTTACCGCTCCTTATTCTATCTTCCATCGTTGTCTCACCCAAAACTTGAAAACTTCGGCCACATAAAACTCAACAAAACCTTGTGAGATCCATTAGTACAATAAAATAAATCATTACTTAGTTATTGTCAAAGATTGAATCATAATTGTTCTTATATAATACCTACTGTATTCTATCATCTCCATGACTTATACCCCTGATACAATCTAGAAACTTTAATTTAAAATAAGCATACTATGCAATAAAAATAGAATATGTCTAAAACAGATCAGTACATAATGATGCAATATTTAGTCATACTTATGTAGCTCCAAAAATTCTGAAAATTTAGGAAACATAAAATTTTCATAGAAGTAATGTGTAAAAGTTTCAGGAATTGATCACTTTCCAATACAAATAAACAATTCATGCACTGGAAGCTAAACTTTTTGTTTTTGCACAGAACCAAATAAACAATCATCCACATCAACCTAAAGGCTTAACTTGGCACAAAAATCAAAATAAAATGTAAAACATAATCACTAAAGTAGCAATAATCATGTCGACACAAAAAAATAAAATAAAGATAAATGATAACTATTGGGTTGCCTCCCAACAAGCGCTATTGTTTAATGCCCCTAGCTAGGCATAGTGCATAGCATCACGTATTGTCATGTTTGTCCAATTCCTCAATTATGCAACGTGATTTGTTAGGAGGTTTAGCAAGCATATCATTAATCATAACACTCCTAGGCACAAAATCAAAGAATCGAGTGTCGAATATAAGTTCCTGTTTTACATTGATGAAATTGGGGTGAACACTAATCATCTTAAATCTCCTTTCTCCTTCCTAGAGGAAGCACCCCTATTAGTTTTAGGAACATACATAAGATTCAAAGTCTTGTTCATGGGAGGTCCTTCACAGTTTTAATGGAAGAAAAAGGCATAGCCAAGTTATTAATGAACTCTTCCAATTTATCAATTATAGAGGGACTTTGTTCTACTCTATTGGTGATTAATTCTCTATCCTTAAGCAATTTTTAAAGTGGTTCCCACCATGGAGCCAAATTTAGTTACTTGGTTATGCACCTTTTTATCCAAATTTTCAATGTGTTCAATATTTGGCATTTTGTTTCAGTAACATCTAACCTTCGCATAATGTGTTCCAAAGTTAACGTTGTTTCATTGATAATAATAGGTGGTGATCCCACCTATTACCCATAGCATTAAAGGCATCCAAAGGGTGACTACTCAAAAAGTTTCCTCCAATAATAGTGTAAAGCACAAAACAATACCAAGTAGTAACACCTATATAAAATTTCGGAGAAGGACAGTGGTGGATTGCATACAAGTTGATCTATTTTGAGCATCAGAAATCCTATACTAAGCATATTTCAAACTTTCTTCATCCCATCGTTTAAAATTAAGTACTTCATTTGCGGGAGTGGAAGCAATGAGTGAATAACTAGCCATAATAACAAGCCAAGATAGCAACACAAGATATTTTTGGTATTTTTAGGTTTTCTAGAGGAGGAATGAGGTGAAAAGGAGAATGCAAATAAAAGGCAAATGGCAAGCAAATGATAAATGTGTGCGAAGGCACCTGGATTGTTTGGTGAAGCCTCCCCGACAACGGCGCCAGAAATTCTTTCGCTACTTGTGATAGTGTTAGGATTCCCCAAAGAGGAAGGGTGATGTAGTATAGTAGTAGATAGTATTTCCTCAGTGAAGAACCAAGGTTTATCGGACCAATAGGAGACACCACAAAAACAACATAAACGGTACCTGCACACACACACACACGCGCGCGCGCGCGCGCGCACAAAGCAAATGCTTGCACCCAACGAAGGCAAGAGGGTTGTCGATCCCCTTGTTCTCGCCAATTGCAGGATCAATTCTCGTAGTGATAGGTATATAAATAAAAGAAAATAAAAATAGCGAGCAATTTTCGGTTTTTCGTAATAATGGAGAATGGACCCGGGGCCCATAGGTTCATTGGAGGCATCTCTCATAATCATAGCATCAGTGGGTAAACAAATTACTGTTGGGCAATTGACAGAATTGCACATAGTTAGGATTATGATTCCAGCGAGCGTACGGCGGCCCCGTTGTTTTATCCTTAGTAGCAACAATACAATACGTGCCTTGCAACCCCTCCTGTACAGAGTAAGGACACTGCAAGAGTGAACCCACTACTATGCATCACTTCCTTCGAAGTTCTACCCATCAACTTGGCCAAAGAAAACTCATAGATCAGAAAGCATACATATATATAAAATCACACATAAATAGATCTCAAAAAGATCCAAATACTTTCAATGAACAATTTGATCATAAATCCATAATTCATCGAATCGCAATAAACACATTGCGAGAATTACATTGAATAGATCTCCGAAAAGATCATTGTATTGAAGATCAAAGAGAGCGAGAGAGATAGGGTAAGAGAGAGAGCGCAAGAGAGAGAGAGAGAGAGAGAGAGAGAGAGAGAGACATCTAGCTAGTGCTATGGGCCCGTAGGTCCTGAAGGAACTACTCACACATCGTCATGGAGGCAGCAAGGTTGAAGAAGATTGCGTCCCCAATGGTTTCCCCCTCCGACAGAGTACCGAAAAAGGCCTCTAGATGGGATCGTGGAAGAACAGAGGCTTGCGGCGGTGGAAGAATTGTTTCGGGTCTCGCTCTGAGAGTTTTTGGATATTTGTGAATTTATAGAGTTGGAATTAGGGCAAACAAAGCCATGGTGGCCCCACTAGGGGCGCGTCACCTGATCTTGTGGCCCCCTCGATCACCATCTAGTGCCTCCCCGAAGCTTTCTAGGGTCTCTCTTGGTTCAGAAAAATCACCGTAATTTTTTTGTGTTCGTACTTCATTTGATTTGGTTTTTTTGCGAAACAAAGAAATGGGCAAAAAAACAGAAACTAACACTAGGCACTAAGTTAATAGGTTAGTCTATAAAAATGATATAAAATAACATATAAGGCATACAAGATTGATAATATAATAGCATGAAACAGTACAATAGATTAGTCTGTTTCTCTTTATCTTCTAAAGCATGTACATGGGTCGATGATCCGCTTAATTTTCTCTTCTCTTGCTTGTATATGATGTATCTCCGATTCAATCAATAAAATGCGCCAGGTGGCTTTCCCTAAAAAGATGCTAACCAACATAATACTCCCTCCGTTCCTTTATGTAAGGTGTGTTATTTTTGGCACGGTGACCAAGGCACATAATTATAGACATGTTAGGACAAAATTACCCTTGGCCAATTTATTGGGTAGTGGCAAATAAATCAATAACTTTAGGAAAGTAAGAGATACATGCAATTGGCAGATAGATAGTTTCCTTCTTTTGCTATAAGGAGAGATATAGACAATCATCAGAGAGATACTTTCCATATTTCTGGAGGGCTAACAAGGGAATTATGAGAAATTAGAAGAAATACACCTTACATTCTGAAATTTTATCAAAAAAGAAATACACCTTATATAAAGGAACAGAGGGAGTAACAAACAAGTCTTGTGAGGGCCCGGATGCTCGCGCGATGCATGAAAGGAGTGCCCGACGTCTCTGTATGTACTCAAAGGAAAGAACCTGCGAGTAATCATAGGGTTGAGAAGCATCTCAATGAATCGAATCAAGTGGCTAGCAAGACGGCCAATCCGTGCGGGGATCAGCCGGCTGACGCGTAGTGGGCCTTTTCTTTAAGAGTGTTTCATGGATTTTTCATGTTTGATTATCAGAGGAAAACATATGAGTATCTTTAAGCTTGCGGTGTTTTTTTCCTATGAAATCTAATGCAAGAATACTTCAAATAAGAAAATCCATATGTATTGTTAATCTTACGTGTCAAACGACCAAACATATTTATTTTTAAGGATTGTGATGTTTTTTCGAGAAGGGACCTTTATCCTTGTTTTTAGTTTTCACTAAGTCATTCTTTTCTCAAACTGATCCGTTTCGCAAGTAAGATTTATATAAGAAGCTTGCAAGAACCGAATTGGTTCTGGCAAAAGAAACTACTCCTCCGTAAGTAAGATTTATATTTATATAAGAAGCTTGCAAGAACCGAATTGGTTCTGGCAAAAGAAACTACTCCTCCGTACCATAATATAAGGACGTTTTGCAAGTTGTTTTAGCTTGCAAAACGGTCTTATATTATGGGAGGAGGGAGTACGTCTCAAACGGTATATCAACAACTTGCAAAACGTCCTTATATTATGGGAGGAGGGAGTACGTCTCAAACGGTATATCAACAGCAAATATCATTTGGGCAGCTGAATTCTGATTATGGGAGGATCAACCTCACATGCCCCAAAACACACTCGGGTTTATTCTACTCTTCTTTTTTCAGGAAAAGTTTTGTTGTTGCTTCTCATCCCTTGTTCATGTGAATAAACACGACCTTTGTGGTTTGAAACCCCAGGAAATATATACAAATGAAAAATAATATACCTGCTGCTTTACTATTTTCTGTGGTAATATAAACATGTTCAAGGGGAATGAAATATTTGAATCAACAATGGTGCAAGTTGCTGTGTGGATCATTCCTTGAATATTCACCAATGAGTTTACACATAATAATTTAATAAAGAAGAGTAGGTACAGAACACATCAATAAGATGCTGTTTAATCATTGTAACACCAACACAACAAAGCTTCAAAGATGCAACTAAACCTTCTGTACAATTCATTCTCACAGCCACAAATAAAAGTGACAGATTATATCAAAAGCATGATGACATATTGTTGTTTTCCCTAATTTGGATCCTTTACGGGTTTGAACCTAAGGCGAGCTAGAAATGGCTTTCCCAAAACTGAAGCCAGAAACCGTGTCGATATGCGGTGCATGTTGACAGTGACAATCTTGGCATGCTTCGAGGAGACCAACATTTGTTTACAACCATTCCTCCTTATAACAGTTTGACGGCCTCAATTTTGTGGTGATGCTTGTCAGAATTACTACGGGATCATTTATACTTCACGGCGTTGCACGTAACCTGCGGGTTTCTGATCTCATCCTGGCTTTGTATTAATCGGATCTCTAAGCTGCTGCTTGATGGGTCAAAGCCTGCTCTTTTATAGTCTTCAACTGTCCTTCTTAGGAGTGCCTGCAGAAGTTTCTGTATATGTTAAGATTCTGAAGTAATGCATGCTAAGTGAACATCAAATAAGCATATATCCTATCGACAATATCACAAAGTAAAGCCCTAGGCAAGCAAAAAGGGTACCAAGCTGGCTTGCCATTACATTTTAACTTCTGCAAGAGCACGGAGCTTAGAATGACACCTAAACTCAACCAGATTTAAACATGGTCGATGTGATAGTTGCCGTAGACAATAAATTCACTAGCAAGTGAGAACTAGGGCCAAAATGTAAATTCAAATACCTTTCCTAGATCTAGTTTTATGTCACCAAAATCCATGAAACACGTAACACAGGGTTGCTAACACATAATGCTGATAAGAACAGCGCTCAAGACCTAAAAGTTAGATAATGTTGAATAGAGGCACGGACAAGATACCTGCAAACTGGATACTGCCAGTTCCGCCGCTTTCTCAAGGTTATCAGGGTATTTCTGAAAATTGCATCAAAGCAAGCATGAGTTAAAAATGGAATAATCATAAAAAGACCATTCCACAACAACAATGAACTTTCTCTGGGACATACATTGCTCCATCCTAGTAGAAGAGCAGTTGTTAAATCTCCGGTCCCCTACAACATTATGGAGGCAGCAGAATTATACAATAACTGAAATAATTGATGACATATTCACAGGTAGCAATGCTAAAAACACCAAGCTTTGCAGTGCAGAGTGTGTAAAGGGAAACAGAGACATGTCACTTGCTTACTCCATTTCTATACCACCTCATTCGACAGTTATTGGTGTTAGCACATGTGTACACTTGTACACTAGTCATGGACGTCCTGACGTTTTGCTCTTGTCCTAGTCTTTAGGGCAACTCCAACGCATGAACCCAAACCCAAACGGACACACAAAGTGCCCGTTTTTTGTCTGTTTGGGTCGGCCAGGCGGACACCAAAGTCCGGCCGTGTTCGCTGGCCCATAGGTGCGCCCAGGACGCCGGGATGCATTTCTGATTTTGGACCAATTTTCAAATTAAAAATATATTGCCGCCAAAAGTCCGTCTGTACATTAATTAAAAGTTAAAAACATAAGTAAAACCTAGATCTAGTGTCCGTCGTCGTTGTCCTCGTCGGTGAGGTCGATGTAGACCGGTGCCGGCCATGGATACAGCCACGGCACTACCACCAGTGCCAGTTGCTGCGGTGGCGCAGCGGGCACCTCCTCCTGCTGCTCCGCGCCCACCCACTCGGGCGTGCACCGCACCAACTCGCGCGTGCATGGGAACGTAGACGTCCACGACGACAAGTGCCCCACTAGCGGCCACAGCTCATGTTCTGGCTCAAGCGTAGGCAGGGGCGCGGCGACCTGCACTCGGGCCGATTCAGCCAGCACCAGTGGCAGGCCAAGCCACCCGGCGAGTTCCTCAAGCTCGGAGTCTTCGATGGCCTTCCTATAGGCCCTGTCGTCATCCTCCTCCCCTGCTGGTTGTGGTGCTGGAGCGCGTGCGTGCGGGGCACAGGGCGCTGGCGGTGCTAGTCGTGCTCATCGGTGAACCATGTGTCCCAGTGCGTGGAGTCTACCACAAACAGCGGGTTGTCGCGGAGGTCGATCGCGAGCTGAGTGCGATGGCGGCGGATCTCCACCTCCCGCGTGCAACTTGTGACCGGCACTAGAACCCTATTCCGGATTCAAATACCATCCATGCGGCAGGTTCACGTCCGGCCATGGCACAGGGATGGCGTTCTCCCAGTAATGCCGGCACCAGTCGACAGGCACGTAGATGCGGTCGCGCGCCAATGGCACAGCCCCCTGCGGCGTCAAGGTGAAGGTCACCACGTGGTGCCGCCTCGAGGAGGAGACCGCCTCGTGGTCATGGGCTCTGGGCATGCGCTTCCACGTCATGGTGGACGGTGGCTATGGCTATGGCTGGGGCAGAGTGGGCGCGGTGCCCCCCCCCCCGGTCCCTGGCACGCGTGCATTTAAAAGAACCAGCGGGGGTGGTTGGGTGGTTGACACGTGGGGCCGAGCCGAACACCGAGCGGACGCGCAACACATCCGTCTGGTGCCTGTGTGGATGCAAACCTGGCCCAAATAATTTGGGCGGATTTGCGTCCACGCAGACAGCAGACAGACAAAATGGATTTACGTCCGCGTGTTGGGCTGTCATTTCTGCCCACGCGGACCCAAACGGACAAAAACGGACGAAATGTGTCCATGCGTTGGAGTTGCCCTTGGGATCTAGCTCGTGGATAATTGGTTAGTTAGCTAGCCAATGGGACTCTACCCTGCGCATGTGTATACTTATACGCCTCCGATCAGTGAAGATAATTGTGTGGCAAATCTCATTCCTGTCTTACATGGTATCAGCCTTCTGTTTCTAAACACCCATGACCCCTGCTCCACAGCTTACGCTCCCCGTGTCCATGGACGGTCCGCCAGAACCTCGACGACCCCGACTGGACCATGATTGACTCATGCATTGTCAATTGGGTCTAAACCACTGTCTTGTCAAAGATACTCATGATCATTGACCGGACGACGACACACTTCGTGTGGCTTGCAATCCACAACCTATTCCTCGGGAATAGAGCTCACCGCGACTGCTACACACTTCATGAGTTCCCCAATTTGTATCAAGGCGCTCTTTCAATTACCGCTTATTGCAGCCGACTCAAACAATTGGTGGACACACTCCAGGACATCGGGTATCCCATTACCAACAAAGGGCTCGTCCTCGACATCTTTCATGATCTCAAAAGCGGACTTCAGCCCATAAGTGTCGAGCATGTCGATCCACGACCTAAAATTCCTGAATTGTCCCTCCTTACTCGAGCAAGAGGAGCACCGGATCGCCCACACCACCGCCATGAAGGCCAACACCACTCTGCTCGCTCACTCCAACGGCAAGCAGCAGCAGGCCCCAACAACAGCGACACCTCCCCTGCTGCTGCTGGGCCAGAGCCGCGGCCACCGTCGCTGTTGGAGCGAGCAAGGCGGTGTTGGCCTCCATGGTGGCGGTGTGGGCGATCCAGCGCTCCTCTTGCTCAAGGAAGGAGCGACAATTCAGGAACGTCGGCAGGCCGTGGATCGACATGCTCTTCATGGACTGGCTGCAGTCCGATTTGAGACCGCAAAAGGCGTTGAGGACGAGCCCTTCGTCGGTAATGGGATAGCCAACATCCTGAAGGGTGTCCGTCAATTGTTTGAGCATGCTGCAATAAGCTGTAATTGAAAGATCACCTTGGTTCAAATTGTAGAACTCATGTGGAGTGCATAAAGGGCGTTGTGAGCTCAATTCCCGAGGAATAGATTGTGGATCGCGAGCCACACGAAGTGCGCCATCTCGTCCGGCTTGATGATGATCGCGAGTATCTCCGGCGAGACTGTGGTGTAGACCCAATTGACAATGCATGAGCCAATCACAGTCCAGTTGGGGTCGTCGAGGCGTTGGCGGGCAATGACAGTGTCGTCGATGTGGTTGAGGAGGGTGTAGGTGCAGAATATAGTCATTAACAGCGAGTGCTATACCGTGTGGTTTGACACCTGGAGATTGAGGACGACCGGGATGTGTTGCCAGATAGGAACCTGGTGGATGGAGGAGGCAAAAGGTCCGGTGAACGGATTTCCGCCGCCGCCGGAGTAAACGGAGGAGTCCATGGAGGTGGGGAGTGGAAGCTGTGGAGCAGGGATCGTGGGTGTTTAGAAACAGAAGGCTGATACCATGTAAGACAGGAAGGAGATTTGCCGCACAATTATCTTTTATTGATTGGAGGCGTATAAATATACACATACGTAGGGAAGAGTCCCATTGGCTAGCTAACTAACCAACTATCCATGAGCTAGATCCTAAAGACTAGGACAAGAGCAGAACGTGCATAACGTCAGGACGTGCATGACTAGCGCACAAGTGTAAACATGTGTGGCCCATTTCTCCTTCACCATCCGAAGACATAGTCCACAAGCACACAGCTAAAAGGCACCTTGCTGAGATTCTAGTTCTACAATCTACTTTCTAATCAGCCAAGAGAAATAAAACAATTCGTACAGTTATTCTTCATTTAGTCAGGAAACATGCAACTGACTAATGTTTGAATGTTGATATTTTTTTAACTTCACAGCTAGCTCCATTGAGGTTCAAAAAATATGGTCATGTATCATACAACTTGGCCAAAATCAAAGCTGCACAAGGTAAACCTGAGATAGAAACAGCGGGCCATAAACAATAAAATTGCCTCTCCTTGGATTTGATCACTGTTTTGTTGTGCAACATTTATTTGATATAATGTAGGATCGTTATATGACATTGTTTGTTTGAACAGACAATTATATACAGATCCCACATGAACAAAGCTACAACAGATTAAGCAATAATATGAATTAGTCCATACTGAATGCTACAATCTAGGAATAAGCTATGCCAATACGTTCACTACACAATAAGTCAATAACCAACATGCAACAACAGATTCATATATATATATGTACATATATATATATACATATATATATGTATATATATATATATATATAGGAAAATGGTTGTGTACTCCTGGGAGTACGTACTCCCGCTTCTCATATACCACATATATATATATAGTGTTACTATTCATCAATGTACAGGAAAAGTTCCCTCTATTATCAGCCGCACATACCGTGAAATATGCAGGTATCTTGGGTATCTCAATCTTAAATTGTTCCGGCGGTTGTTCCTGAAAATGAAGAGATGGTAAATCTCTTTAAAATCAGCATTCTGACCATTAAGTTACTCAGCAATTATAACAGGGCTGGAGGCTGGAGGCTGGATCCCTGGAAGGCTGGAATAGATTCATCACAGGATCAGGGTTTAAGAATTTAATTGACTAATTTGTATATTTAACGGTTTATTTCCAAAGCATTTTATTGAATTATTAAATGTTCTATGAATTCACTCAAACTCAACCAAAGTTACTCGGAGCTAACACATGAATGTAAACATTGTGTTAGATTCAGTTCGTAATGGATCAGTTTACCCATAACAGCACCCCAAAAATGGGACACAAATTTGATCAGAAACAGGCCAATTTGCACAAATAGGTTTGGTCATGCTACATGTCATAACTATCAATCACACACTACTACTTGTAAATCCTAGCTGTTACTTGTAATCTATCCTGATGTTAATGTAACAATATTAGACCACTGAAGTAGATCTAGAGTACACCTATGATTATGAGCTTTACAAAGATCAGGCTTACACATCAGGCGGACAAATGTTCAAGAGTGTACCTTGTATAAATTACTACTATTCCACATGACTATATCATAGCTCTTAGGCCTTGTACAATGGGAGGTGCTTAGAGAGATGCTTAGAAAAATAAACCGGATTTTTCTGAAGCACCGGTGCCTATTTCTACAGGAGAGACGCTTAGTTAAGTGTCTATCCTGTATAAATAAGCACCGATGCTTAAGAAACGTCCGGTTTATTTCTCTAAGCACCTCCCCTAAGCATCTCCCATTGTACAAGGCCTTAGATGGCCTACTGCATTGACCTGTCAGTTTATAGCCAGCCAAAAAACCCAGTAGAACATCTATATAGCATAGGAGCCATATGGAACTAGAATAATAGTATAATGTTTGATTGCAGGTACGTATGATTGCTTTTGGTTTCCTCCAAAAAAGTAACATCACTATAATGTGGAGGTGCCACTTGCCACACGATGTGCTTGCAATAGTTACCCGATTCGTGATTCGTTCGGTTCACTATTCGCAATTCGCTAACTCATACGAATTGCATTGTTATGGGGTATACATCTCCGATTCACAAATCGGAGACTGGCTTCGCGAATTCGTTATTTCCAATTCGCAACATGGGAGTATAATAGACATAATAAAACAATAAAGATTTTTTCTAGTAAGCACATACTCCCTCCGTCCGAAAATACTTGTCATCAAAATGGATAAAAAGAGATGGATCTAGAACTAAAATACGTCTAGATACATCCTCTTTTATCCATTTTGATGACAAGTATTTCCGGACGGAGGGAGTACTATTTAACAACTGTAGAAGATCACAGAATCAAATTGTTTTTTTTTTGAGGTCACAGAATCACATACTAAAGGCAAGTTCTACAGGACGGCGATTCGACCCGCAATGTTGTATGGCGCTGAGTGTTGGCCGACTAAAAGGCGGCATGTTCAACAGCTAGGTGTGGCGGAGATGCGTATGTTGAGATGGATGTGTGGCCACACGAGGAAGGATCGAGTCCGGAATGATGATATACGAGATAGAGTTGGGGTAGCACCAATTGAAGAGAAGCTTGCTCAACATCGTCTGACATGGTTCTGGCATATTTAGCGGAGGCCTCCAGAAGCTCCAGTGCATAGCGGACGGCTAAAGCGTGCGGAGAATGTCAAGAGAGGTCGGAGTAGACCGAATTTGATATGGGAGTCCGTAAAGAGAGATCTGAAGGATTGGAGTATCACCAAAGAACTAGCTATGGACAGGGGTGCGTGGAAGCTTGCTATCCATGTGCCCAAACCATGAGTTGGTCGCGAGATCTTATGGGTTTCACCTCTAGCCTACCCCAACTTGTTTTGGACTTGTCACGGAATCATATAAAAAGCTAAAGGAAACAAACATTCTTTCATGGGTTGGGCCAAATCAGCCCAACTAGCCCATGGCTCAACCCTAGACTATGCACACACATGAGCAGTCTAAAAAAGAAAAACGAGCAGTCTGCTATTCAGTAGTACTCCCGCAGTCCCACTGTTGCGGCGCCATGGGCGCCGACCCACCATCTCAGCACGGCTGCAGCCTTCTCTCGCCCTTCCTCCACATCTGCCAACTTCCAAGATTGGCTTCCCATCCACCCCGACTCCAACTCCAGCTTCCTCACAGCAAGGATCAGCCGCTGCAGCCTGCTCATCTCCTATGCTTCCACCGTTGTCTCGTCCACGGCCAAGGAGAATCCCATCCCTCCGCCCCGTGTATTCCCTGTGTACATCGATGTGCTGCAGGGCTGTGTTTTCGCTTCAGTTCGACGAACCAGGCACGGATTCGGATCGACCAGAGTGAGTTCAAACCCCGGTCTGGATCAATCGATCGGGATCAGGGTTCGAAGCCTCTTTTAGCGAATTTGGTAACTATGTTGTATAATATTTTAATCTTCTCACAATTCTCATGGGATACTTGGGTAAGATCAAATGGTTTCCCATCCCCCTTTTTTCTTTAACTTTCTGTTGAATAATATTGTAAAGCCACTAACTTTTTTATTTGCAACTAGTACATTCATAGCATGTACATAGATATAATAAATCCAACAAATTCATCAAAAGTTTACCTCTGTTCTTTTGTAACTTCCAATGAGGAGCAGCTTGTCTTCAATAAGTGCACTAGTTATTATCACCTGTAGAACGATAGCAGTCAAACACATTCATGAATTAGTAATTGTATATTTGCATTAGCAGCATTTTAAATGAAGAAACATGGAACGAGGATAGTTGGTCATAGGGCCAACAGTGACTCTGTGTAGCACATCAATACTTTTATTGGTTTATCTAGCAATCTTATAAGCCTGTAAGGGACAAACCTTCCGCGGTCCAGCACTGTGCAGGGTATTGCAAGCTTTCAAGCCATCTTGTTCGGAGGTAATTCTGCATGTACACATTCAAATAGGAAAGAAAACAAATATTTGACCAATGTATGAGAGTACCAAAAAAATGATTTTGTCTGTGTATAGATTTATTGTTATTGTCAAATAAGCATGAAAAAGATATTTCATGCAGAAACTAAGCCATATGCCCTCACCGAAGTATACCAGTTTACAGAATGCCCACTACAGCCCCCCCATCCCACCCCACCCCACCCACCCATCCTTTAGTTCTTACGTATCACCTGTATATAGGTCACCCAGTTGTGACTGAATTTCAAATCATTGCACCCTAATCCACACATTGCCCCTTGAGTTAAAGATTAACTATAGAACCCAAAAAATGGTAGAAAAATTGGACTACTCAGGCCAAAATTAGCAGTATATTTTTTTTCCTGGAAGTGCTAAATTTGAATTTATATGGAATCTGATACAGAACAGAAGTATGGCGGATTGACGGGGTATATGACAATAAAGAGATTAGCTCTCATTTTCCTTTTCCAAAAAGAATAGAATGAATACCTTAATCCTGTGAGTAGTTCAACTTCAAATTGGTTTGGTGTAAGCATTGAAGCAACTGGGACAACCTGGAGATTATTTGATGAGAAAAAAGAATACATTACGATGAGCACAGAGCATTATGAGCATTAAACACATTTGAAATTACACTGTCCTATCATGTAATTTCCATGCCATAGCTCAATGAGTAAATGGGAGAAGTTAATTGAACGAAACACAGAACACACTGCGCATGACTGTTCGACTAACTTCTAAAGGGGAAAGGAGATGCAGCTGCCTATATGTACTGTTTTATTGAAAAAATGTAAACCTTCAGTCTAGGGAATGGATTTGCTTATTGAAGAGTAATGGATACTGGAGTACAGTAAAACTTGCAGGGTCTTTTTTTTGTAACATGCTAACTAGCCTTACAATAAGTAATTCCCAGCATTTTTTATATCATAAAAGATAACTTTAGCAAGTTGAAATGGGCTAAATCACCTTCTCCTGATAAACAGATACTAAATCCTGAGGAACATATAGTTTGCCTTCATCACCTAGAACCGGGTCGCAAACTGCAGAGCGTTTGTGGACATGCATTAGCAAATTCTATTTAGAATTTGTTTATGACATAATTCCCCATAAGATTTTGTACAACAGAACTGACCATATAGATAATGGAGATGAGAAAAGGTTACCGTATATAAGATCAGGATTGACCGATCGTAATTTGTCGACGACTTGTAGCACTGTATTTAAAAAGGAAACAGAGCCGATGTAACCTGAATACCAAGAAATAGCATGTTACTTCGACAAAAATAAACAAATAGCGTGTTGTTTTGTGTATAAAGCATTATGTTTGATTAAAAAGAGATGATGATTAATGGTCTGCCATTGAAGACCAATCAACTTGCTTTTTACATGAAGGATGGGAAATCCCAAATTGAAGAAGTCGTAATGGTCATTCACCTGTTAACAAATGTGTATAGTGCAATAATTCATTTTCCTCCAGTCCTTCAATAAGATCCCACAGCTGATTGCCATTGAGAACCTGTCCTCTAAATTTTGGGTATCCTGAGATAACACATAGTGGAAAATATTTAGGCGTGCCAGACATATTGCACATTTTACCGAATAGCCCAATTATATACCTGTATGATTAGAAAACTGTACAGAGTTTATCGGATCCACATCAAAACCAAGGAGTTGCAACGGAAAGACAGCAGATTTGTTGCCAACGTAGCCCTAAATTAAGGAAAAGCAGCATGAGTAGAGGACATAAATAAATCAAATCAAACATAAGGTTTTCAGTAATTTACTAGTACTCCTGATTTCCGAAACAATGCTATGCACAGTTATTATTGTACACTTAAGCAATCCCCAAGTATGATCATATGTATGCCATACAACAACTGCATTCACCAGTAAGCAACCACACGACTTGGTGACACTACACAACGGGAGACAATCATGATGATGGTGTGCAAGCAGCACGGCACGCATGCATGTCTGATATGAATTGAATAATAAAAATAATAATTCAGTCATGAAGCACTTGCAAATGACTTGAGTACAGCTGGTGTTCTCGGCCTAGCCACCGAGATCTTAGAACCCGCAAAACACTTGATTTGCTCCCAAACCCAGACTATCGTACCATACAGCCGCCAATTGCTCGTAGATGCAGGTAGTTAAGCAAGATCATGGCAGATGAACAGAGGAGAGAGAGGGTGGTGTGGCACCTGGACGGTGTGGGACTGGATGCTGAGCACGCGCCCCGTGTCAGACGGCAGTGCAACGGAGAGGATCGGCGGCCGTGCCATCGCCGGATGCACCGCCCCTCCACTCGTCCCCCGCCGCCAACCAGGTCCGTCCCTGCGAAATCGCAGCAGCACAAAGGCAAGCAAAGCTGGTCAGACACAGGAGGGAGAAGGAGAGGCCAAATTGTTCTCTTTTACTCCGATCTTCCACCATTAATCCAACCTAACCAATTGAGTAATCGGCAGCGGAATATCTTCGGAGATTTGGAGGTGGACTACGCAACTACGGGTCTCCACAGCTACTACTTTTTTATATTAATAATTAATTAATCGACAAGTAGATTATCTTTACCCACCTGGAGGAGAAAGGAGTGGATGGGATCCACCGTCTCCACGAGGCGCACGAGCGGGGGAGCGGCGGCAGGGGCGGCACGGCGGCGGCGGCGAGCATGCGACGGTGAGGCGGGCGGAGGCGGAGGAAGAAGAGTATGCGTGGGGGATAGACGAGTGGACCAGCAGCGGACGGCGATGGGATCGCACGGCTGACAGTTGACGCTATCGTGGCCGTCCGTGTGGCAAGCGAGGGATAGGATTCCTTCGCTCACGACAGCGTAGTTTTTGTTTTTCTCTACTACTATTAAACAAGAAAACATACACCCAGCCTAAGCTATACGTAACAACACAAATCAATAATAGCCTCACGATAAAGGTAACTTAATTAAAGCTGACCATCAAGGTAAAACTAACCCTCAACCAAAGGTACGTTTAGCAATTTTTTTATGCGGACGAAAACTCTGCCAGAAGCGAACGGAAGGCCCACCTCAGCCACGTCGCCAAATTAGCGCTAACCTCCATCTAATCTCACCCCAAAATTAGCGCTAACCTCTCCAGCCACACAAGTCTCCCACAGCGCGGCGGCGCCCGCTCCCCCTCGCCTCTCGGGCCACACCGATCTCTTCCCTCAGCACGAAGCGGGCGCACGCAGGGCGGCCGCCGGCGAATGAGGCCGCGAGCGATCCCGTGGCGCTGCGGCGCCTGCATCCCTCGCATCTCTGATCACAGTGGTCTGCTCCCTAAGCACGAAGTCGGTGCATGCAGGGCGGCCGCCGGCGAACGAGCCCACGGCGCGGCGATCTGCTCCCTGCCAGTTTGAAATCCGCACTGATCTCCTCCGTGCTGGTCGTTCTACGGGGAAGATCGCTGAGTACTTCGTGTAAATCTGCTGCAAACGACCAACACTCTGTGCCAAGATGCGGAAGTATTTCATCCCTCACACGTGCTTCCTGGCCTCACATGTGATGTAAGTATCGCATCCCTCACATGTGCTTCCTGAATCGCTCTCTTAAACAACATAGAGTATATGTGGATCAAATTACTTCATGTCTGCTAACAAAATCACATATCCTATGTGACAGTGGGTTATTTTTCTCCTTCGAAATTGATGAGCTGGGAGATAATGCCACGGAATAACATAAGTATTTCTGTTTTAAGTGTATATACTATCCTGATAAAATCCTCAGAACGCAGAAGTGTGTGCATTCTTGGTTTCATGCACCATATTATTGTTCATGTTTGAGAGATTGGTTTTCAGCATGTGAATCTGAGCTTCACATACTTTGCCCGAGAAACTTCAGTTATTGATAAGACGACAAAGGATGAAAAATATTTATTGATGTCTGAAGCATTTCAGTGTAACTACATTCTTGCACTTTATGTCTCATTGATTCTGTTCTGTTGCAACTTGTCTTAAGGTGCATCTGCTTCTTCATTTCTTAATCACTGTTTCTATACAATTTGATGGCGAAAGTGCATGGTGGCTGTGGCGCTGTGTTATTCATCGCTGAGAGGAAGAAGAAAAGGGGGATTGGACAAGGAGCAATCATGGGCTTGGCTGGCGTGCTCGAGTGAAACATGCCCGTTTTAGTGTGGGTCGAGGCACTAGGGTGTGTTGTCGGTGTGGCTTGGTCGGGCATTCGCTAGCTTAATCATCATGCGTTTGGCTGAGCAAGCGATCGCTAGCGCCAACCGGTACTCCGGCAGGCAAGTACCACAACAATTAGTGTGACGGTCGGCATCAGACTGCACAAGAAGACGGCTCTGCGAATGGCCTAAATGCTGGAGCCTGTACTTCCATCTTCTGCAGGAAGGACCGCAACCTCTAGCAGTGCAGGACGACAATAGCTTCACAGCGTCACCGAAGTCCGGGCGGTGGCTAAGTTCAGCATCAGCCTAGCTGCTAGCCAGAAGTTGGACATGAAGGGGAGAGGGAGCGGTCAGCAAACGCAAAGGGGCAGGGGTCATCATAGTTGTTAATTTGTTTTTTCTAAATTTATAGCGATGCAATATAAGTTTCTGAATTTCTATCAACTTAAGATCGTGCATAGTAGTGGTCTATTGATAGTACTGGTCAAGGTGTCAAATACTTTGTTTTTGCTTTGCATCAAACCATTTCTTTTGTGCTCTGGAGTTTAGAGTCAGCCCCACCTTTATTTTCCTCCGTCCTCTGCCACTACTCCTAAATGTATTGGAATTCAACAGGTCATGAAAATGGACGGATGTGATAGTGAAGGAACCAGAGGGAATGATACTACTATATCAACAACGGTGTTCATACGTAAGTACTCCACCTATTCTAATTTTTTGTATTTTTTCACAAAAAACTATCAAACTTGTGTACTGTCATACCTTCTATTTTTTCTTGTTATACCTTCTATTTTTTCTTGTTAATTTGCACACAGGCGAAGAAAATAAAAATGAGGAAGATACTAAAAGACACATGGATGAGTAACATAGATGAAAAACTCATATACCCATCATGTCTTGGATGAGAAAGTATGAAAACTTCAATGAAAAATTTAGCACCGCCAAACCATTTGGAAATGCACCACCAGAAATGAAAAACAATTAGGAGGTAGATGCACTAGAGGAAGGAAGAGGAGCTCCAGTTTGATCCCATACTTTGTGTCATAATTTCATATTGAGTAATTCTTTTGTCTCAATGATTCACTATATAATTCTCATTGATGAAACTTTGGGCGGTACCTTGATGAATGTACTTCAAATCTTTACTATTAAAGGGTACGTTTTGTTTTGGTATGTTCGCCTCCTTCGCTACATGGGACCTTTCCATCATTTTCATTTTCAATATATTAAGTAAATCTTTCTCTTTTCTATTTAATTTAATTATGCAGGAAAGGAGGAATACATAGTTTTACTACATAATAGTATAAATAAGATAAGGAAGAGGGTATTGTAACTAGCAAGTTAGCCTGTTCATCCGTATGGCCATGAACCTTCTTAAAATATGTATGGTTGTTGTATCGTACCAAACAATATAATCTTCAAAAAGCACACGTCTGTTCATATTAAAAATGTACCTCTGTTGAAACTTTGACTGCTAGTCATTCAGTTTGAAGTGAAAACACATAGAAAACCGTACTGTTAAGAGGTGTTGTCTCCTGTGCATGGATCAACCTGGATGGAGGGCGGTGGATCGGGGACGTAGCGGCAGCGACCAGGTATCTTCCTTTCAGTAGAGTGCATGAGATTACTTTGGAAACAAACTGCAACTTTCTTGACGTGCCCAGTACTAAACTGGGAGGTGCTGGGAGGCTGATGCTTGACTATCTCCAGATGAAACTGACATCGAGGTGAGTGGACACAAGCTTGACTACTTTATTCTTTTAGTATGAACTTGATTAGCATTTCATAGAAACATGATGTGTGTGATATATCTGAATCAACAAGCTATGCAATTTTTTTCATTACGCAATACAAAAGTATGTTGCTACACCTTATTATCAAGGAATACAAAAATATATTGCTATACCTTATTTTCAGCAGTTATAAAATATGTATTCAATTTAATAGTTTTGATGGAATGCTCATGTCAAGTTGCTAATGTGGTTGGACAGAGAAAAAATATTGAATTCAGTTGTTTTCAGTAGGCAGTGTGATTTATTATTAATTAGGAAATACAGAAGAATGTGTGTAGGTATCTCAATCCTCTTAGATGCCACTTCTGGACTTGTCATTTTTAACAGTACTGAACTTTTTTAGAGTTCTGTTTCGACTGTATTTCAGAGAGAAGTTGCAAACTGAAGAAGTAGAGCAATCCTCAGTTTTTTTATATAGGTTACTTAAATTGGGTTTAAAAATTCCTCCATTACGAATTTTCTTCACCAACAAATATAAATGTTTAACTATCTAAACTTGCACTACACTCCGTAATGACCTGCTAGCGATGCTTAACACCTCAATT